CTGCGGCTCGATGCTAGCGGCTACGAGGCTTCCTATGTTGTGCTTGCCGCTGGCAACCAGGGACCTGCATAGGGCGACCACTTCTCGGGCACCTCGCTCTGAGAGTATGGGAAAAGTGCAGCTTAGAGGTCTTTTGAGGCCTGAGGCCTGAGCATGCATGACCTCGCCCGCCCGACGCGCCCTCCCCGCCCTTCCCGTGACCCGCCCTATGGTGTTGGGTAGGTGGTGGCGCACAGAGCATCCAAGGATGGCCGGTCGGCAGCTCTGTGTCCCAGCCAGAAATCAAAGTTGAATCGACGGCGAATCGACTTTCATTTCTGGCTGGGGTGTGAACCACCAGGAACGCGCTAGGCGGCTTGTTCGCAGAGCCGACCTATCGCGTCCAGGGTGGTGGCTGTTGACGCAAAGCCGGAGCCACGGTGGAGCAGCGGTGGCCGAAGCCCAGCAGCACAGCCCTCCCCCCCCCCCCCTCTTCTCCTTTTCCCAGGGAGAGACCGTTTTCAGATTTTTTCAGTTGTGTGATTCGAAGATCCTGCTAACAGACGTCTAGAAGGAAGGGCCGCAGCCGCCAGGAACATCCTGTTGTCTAGAACTGTATCGCAACAACCTGCCTGCCCCGACAGACTGACGACTGACAGCTTGTGGTGGGGCTGTCATGACACGTTCACTGATCGTTCGAACCGGCGCGCCTAACGGTGTGGAGTGGTTGACGCCCAGCGCTGCCACCATTGCGACGTTAGGTGTATCAGCTGACTCTGGATCTGGCATCACTGGCGCCATCAGCTGTAGAAGCGCTCTGTCTCTATTCTGCCTGGAATCTGGAAGGTTTGCTGTTGGTTGAAAGCCACTACTCGATCACTGCTGCTGCTGCTTGGGTGTTGCTTAGGTTCCACACTCCCTCTCTGGAACTTGTTATCTGAGTTCCGCGTGAAATGGCTGGAAGTAATGGTTAGTATCCTTTTATTCTTGCATTTAAACGTGACTTATTGGATTGATTGGCCCCGCTAACCAGGGCTCGATGGCTTCACCGGATTTACCGGCGGCGGTACCGTTGTCTGGTTCTTTCTAATTTCAAAATTATTCCCCAGGATCTGCAGGTGATGAGTGGGAGTTGAACCTCCACATATTAGGCCCCGGTAAGTATATTATTCCTTCCTAAACTAAGTTTAGTGATAACTCTGACTTTCAGTGTTAGTAAACATTATATTGTCTCATTCCTAACCTCATTTTCAATTTGCCACCTACATTATAATTTGTATATGTAACGTATTTTAATTTTATAAACAAACTACTCCTTTTGAAAGGTTAGTTGCAAACCTAATATAGATTTGCTGAAGTAAGTTGATTCATCTCATGTTCTAATTCTACTTATTGTTTCAGAGACTATGGCGGCTAGAAGTATTATTTTTGGACTGGCTGATGCTATGCAGCAGCCAGAGCAACAGCCTAACCCACAGCAAACAGTTACTCCTATTTGTAAGTTTTGTGGGGATTTGTAAAGACTATTGTCCTCCCTTCAGGGTTGTTAAAGTTACAGCAACGCAGAAACGAAGTTACTGTAACGCGTTACTCGTAACTGTAACGATAACGCGTTACATTTTCATTTGGGCTGTATCGGTAACGCGTTATCGTTACCCTTGTCAGTAACGAGCCGTAACTTCGATACATTTTACTCGTTACATGGGATATATTTGACGGATACACTTAATTCGTTGATGATGATGCGAAGGGAGTTAAAGTTTAAGCGCTCTGCAGCAATCGTGCAA